GCATGAAATGCACAAGCAACTGCAACAGAAAGTCATTGCAGTTCGCAGAGATGTCCCGTACTCTCCGACGATCTCATGGCTCGTACAGGCGCATCCGCAGCGGCGACAAAGTACCTGCATCTGGTTGCTAGATACCCTTGCCAACCTTACGACAGAGTCTTAGTTGGCTTATTTCATGTGTATGTTATAACTTTACAACGGGCAGATTCGCTTGGCATTCCAGTCCCACCTCGTCTAAGCGCATGAGATAGGAGTACTTGGACAGAATGAAGTTGGCACAGTGCTGGCCTCAGCCAGACAAAATGCCCTGTCGTCTTCGGCCGGTGGGGCAACGCCGGGCAGCTCCAGTGCAACCAAAGCGCAGTCGCCACATTTTCCACGAATCTTTGCCTGAGCATGAATGAACAACGACGTCAGAAGCGAAGCTACAGCATGTCGGGCGCACCAGCGGATCAAAAGTCATTGCAGCTTCCTCCGTTTCGTCAACGGCCGATCCTGCCGGAGGCCAATCGGTCGCGCTAAGAGTTCTGCATTGATGGCAATAACAGCCATCAGGAGAGTGGGTACTCTCAAAGTCGATGACATGAAGGGAAGGGAGCCACAATTACTGACAATGGAAACGACGTCGACAAGATTGCTAACAGTCTTCGCCTCAATAACTCATAGGTACTCGTAGAATTCGGCACTTTAGACCCAGGTCGTGGCACATGTGGACAGGCCTGTTTGCGCCTCCACCCAGTCGCTGCTCACCTGGTCGCAGATTCCCGATGTTTTCAGGTGCTGCACTCGGTGAATCGCCACCAGTGTGTGCAAGTACGTGCAATCAGGGAGGGAGAGCGAGAGAGCGAGAGAGAGCGGGCACAGGGGGCTACCCTCTGCCCATAGCCCTGCCGAAAGAAAGAGAGAGAGAGAGAGAGCCATGGGAGAATGACTCACGGAGGTTGTTGACAAATGTCTGATTTCCGCAGTCCAGTGTGTTCCCTGCCAGGAGTGGCTGCGCGGCGACCAGCCGCAGCGTGGCAAAGACTTGGAGTTGAGGTTCGACGACGCAGTGGACAAACTCCGGGAGAAGCCGAAGCCCGCGCCCCCTCAGCAGTAGAGATGTCAAGAATGCGTTGCAGAGCAAGACATGCACACCCGGGCAGCGAGACAGCCAATACCGGTGCAGCAGTGCTGCGTGCCCTGACGTGCACCATGTGCAGATGTGTGGCCTTGCAGCTCATACTCGAGGAGGTGAATGATGCCACGAGGCCGCCGAGCCAACGCGGCTGAGAATCTCCTGGCAGCGAGCGTGTCTGACTTCGTGAAACAGCGGAAAACAGAGCGCCTGAGCTTGCGGCTTGGGTTGCCGGGCATGGTGGCTCTGGGTTCATCCTTTTGAGAGGTGCTGCAATCGCGGAGAAAGGCGCCTTCTCAATTTGTGTGCCTGGTAGCTTCGGACCAGCGGATGGGGAGGCAGCGGCAGTTCGATGCAATCACGGTTATTTCTGTTCTCGCAGACTTGCAGATGCTGAAAGCTCCTTCATGTCGAAAGTTGCGTTGCCAGGAGCTTTCAGGTGCCCAGCTCATCGGAGAGTCCCTCGCAACACTCTCCGGGGAAGGTGTGGATACTAGCGAAGAAGTGGGTCCCAAACTCTCTGTGCAGCTGACAGCTGACTTCGACAAGTGGCACGTCTTCTTTGCCGGCGAGAGATTGGACGGCGAGGCCAGGCGTGGAGCACGAAGAAAGTGCAGAGAACACCAGGTCGAAAGGTTTCTGTCAAAAGCAGCCTGCACCAGTCGTGGTAGGAGTCCTTTCTGCTGGCGAAGAAGCTCTGGATAGACAGCTGTGGAATTCCGGAGTCTCAGGCAGGAGTAACATGGCAGCCTGGAGCCGCCTAAACACAAGACTCAAACAACTCAAACAAGACTGCAGAGTTGGGCCTGCAAGACTATGAGGCTAACAGAAAGGGAGACTGCACGCATGAACCATTAGATTGAAACAGCAGGCTCACATCTTGCGTTTTGTCTTATGGAAGGTAGTGGAAAGTACGGCCAGTCGAATTCACTTACAGCACGGCGGCTAACAGTCGAATCTAGTCGACATCAGCCAAGTACTGACAAATGTAGCCCCCCGGCAAAACTGCGGTACTTGATCACGGGGCCAAGCCACAGCCGCAAATCAAAATCGGAATTCTATGTGACCTGCAAGCACAGAGCCCCAAGCCGCACACCTCACACAGCCCTGAAGGACCACACCTAAACGCCCCACCTTATCCCGCTCTTCGCCCCTTCGGTTCCCTAGGGTTCGACCCACATCAGCTTGGTTCTGCAAACAGGTTCATCCGGTTCCACAAGGAATGCCTGCGGAGGGGGCTGCAGCTCAATACACGGCTACCGGACTGCAACGTCATGAATCTTTCGCTGCACGATTCATTATGTTGTTCGTTGTGCCGACCAGCTCGTGGGCGAAGGCGGAAATTTGCATGCAGCCGAAAGCTCAGAACTAGCCGTCATCCGTGTTGCTGGTTGCTTCGCACTTCGTTGCTCTCAGGGATGAGACCATCCTGGTAGACAGCGATCAGGTCGATCTTATCCGCTTCAGCCGAAAAGCTTGGTCCGTACGCTCGCCAGGGCCTCCCTGCGGTCGACCTGCTCCTTCTCGACATGGCCAAAGATGGTACCATTGGGCGTTTGAAGCCAAACTCGTTGCGAACTCAAGCTCAACTTAGGCCCATAAAGCGGTCCGTTGCATGTGCTGACTATCCTTGTTACTGTAATGATGACCTTTCCTGGTTCATCGTGGTTCTGCTCTGAGCGCGACATGGTGGTGCCAGCCGTGTGCTTGTACATTGGGGGTCGTACCTCGGACGTCAGTCGCTTGCCCTTGTCCCTCTCAGCCCTGCAGTTCATCTGTACCGCTGAAGACTGCCTGCGCAGGCTTGGCTCCAGAATAGTGGCTATCGATTTTTTATTTGTGTGAGCAATGCATTGCATGTAGCTTGGCTTTTGCTGCCCAGTCGATGCACGATGCGAAGAGGCTGTGAAGATTGGGGGCGACCTGATCAAGTGGAAGATGGTGCTACAACAGGGGATGTGCGCGCAGTTTTCTCTTTGAGAGGCTTGTGCTGCCAAACACGGCGCTCACAGACCCGCAAGGGAAGTGCCCGATACATCTCAGTCTTGGCATCGGATGTGCGCCAAGCTCCAGAGACAGGTACCAACCAAGTCAGAGTTGAAGGTTCCAGATTCGAGAGGTTCGCCAGATCTGGACGGAGCGATTCCTGGAACCAGCGGGAGTCCTGCTCCTACGGCTCCTACACCCCAGTACTGGCGCAGGCGGCGCGGCGAGGGAGCTCCCGTGCCTCGTAGTTCAAATGCAGCCTCTGGAGTCTCGAAGTTGCACAGTGCAAGGGCTTTGCTTGTCATTTCGATGCTGCTTCTTTTGCTTTGCTTGCGCTCCGACTTCCCGCACCCGCAAAGCTGGGCGGCCAGGGTATTTCTTCTGCCTTTGAAGGCAATCTCTAATGCCGAATACACTTTGGTCGTCTTGGCTCCTGCGATCTGCTGGATCACCCTTTTTATTTGGAGTCGGTTGGAGCTGCCAGAGCAGAATGGTGCAGCTGGCCAGCGCATTGCACACATTCTTAGGACGAGCCTGTGGGTCAGCTTGATCTTGGTTGCGCTCACGGCAAGTTTTGGTGGCGATTTTTCAGTGCGCCTTGTGGCGGCACTCATATATTTTCCTGCTGCAGCACTGTGGCTGGTGTACAGAAGTGAGTGGTGCAAAGCAAGCCGGAGGCTGATTAGCACATGGGTTGTGTTCTTGCCGCTGATCTTCGAGTACAAGTTGATGTACTGGTGGCTGCACTTTGCTGGGCTGGAGCATGCCAGCGATGCATACAGACCTCTGCACGAGAAGTATGCACCTCGAGTACTTCGATTGCTCGTGGAGCAGGGCGGCGTTTTTGTGAAGATCGGGCAGATGCTTTCCCTTCTTCCCGCAGGGGTCTTGCCCGAAGCCTTCACAAACCAGTTCAAAAGTCTCCAGAGCCGCGTCCCTCCCCGGCCCGGCAACGAAGTGAAGCGGCTGGTCTCGGAAGCTCTGGGTCAGCCACTGGAGTCTGTCTTCAGTCGCTTCGACGAGGCCTTTCAATAAAGGGGATGCGGGGGACACGAACTCATTTCTGCTCTTTACAGAGAGTTCTTGCAATATCTTGGCAACCAAGGTTCCAATTGGGTCCGCAAGTATTGGGCAAGTGCACCGTGCCAGATTGGCAGACACCGGCAGCGAGGTTGTCGTGAAGGCAGAGCCCGAAGACATCTTTCCCATGCCTCTCCGTTTTTCATGTCAGTCTGACTGGTCAGGTGCAATATCCCGAGGTGTCTCAGACGATCGAGTCAGACTTCACCAACTGTGAGCGTGCTTCGCCAAGCAATCCTCGTCCCGGCTGTAACGATTCTACAGGAGTAATCTGAAGATTTATCTCCGAGCTTCGCAGTGCGTCGCGCCTTCCGCAGGCATTGTCAGGATCCTCGACAAGACCAAGATGGAGCAGGTCCGTGAAACGTCTTTCAGCTGCATCAGTGGAGAGCCGAAGTAACCACGCGCATGGGGCCCCATCCAGGAAAAAACATTACATCAACGAGCTGGATTTCAACAAGGAGGCTCAAAACCTACTGCACGTCAGGGCTGGCTTGTGCAAGCAGTTCCCTGAGGTGCAGACCTCAGCTGTTTCGCAATTTGCGAAGGGTCCAGTTCGAGAAACTCTGTGCACGTCACTGCAGCAAAGGTGTGTGTTCCAGAGCCAGTGTTGGAATTCTGCCGACCTACGGTCCTTGTAATGACGTCTCCCAGATGCATGCGATGCCATGGCGCATAGGCTTTCTAAAGCTTACTCGAGCATGAATAAGACAATTCGACCACCGGCATCCTGAGGTACCTGACAGGCAGCTCGCTGCTGGATGGTATCATGGATATGGCACAGGCAGGCAGCGGAAATCACTTGTGAGATTGAATGCCCATCACGTAGCTCCTCGGTCAGGCCATTGCCAAAATGCGAGGCAAGAGCGTTGAAGATCTGATTGCAGAGTGCAGTCAAAGCACATCGCGCGACAAGAAGGACACACTTTTGCTGGACCATTAATGACCTTCATGATTGAGCCCTAGACCCTAAACTCTAAAACGTTTTGGGGCATCATGGAAGGGAGCCCTGGTAGGCATGGATGACGGGTGGTTCAGAATGGTTCTGAAGATTGCACCTGAGGAAAACCAGAGAAGGAACAAGAACGGTAGTGATAGACGGTGATATATCGGGTAGAAAAATCCCTTCGCCTTGCGAAAACCAGGGAGAGAACAGATGACGGATTGTCCTCGCAGAGACCACGGCAAAAATACCACAGGCATGCCGAGGTTTGGGAGTGCAGATGAGAGGCGTCGGTAGTCACAGAGGACGGGCGGGCGGTCACAGTCAGAAAAAGCCCGGCTAGGCTTTCGGAGAACCCGTAGCTGAGTGTCAGAGCTTCGGGCCACGACTGCGAGGATGCCTCCGAAGCCTTGTCAAAGCAAGACTCCGGCCGCCTCGATCCGAAGGCCCTTGGACTTCTTTGCGGTTTAGGGCCGCCTTTGCAGTGTGTAGGCTGGGCCACAGAATCTTTAAGGGCGGGCAGTCTTTGTCCCTGCCAGCTAGATGTGGGAAGTGAAAGCTGGAACCAATAATTTCAATACTGAGAATCCTCAGACCGTCTGCTGAACTCTTTTCTGTGTTGACCTGCATTGAGGAAAAGCGAAGATGGCACGTCTCCCTGGTAAACAGGATGCCTTCAATGCTGCCGAGCATCTCAGATTCCACGAAGCTGAAGCTACTTCAGCTCTGCATGTCCACATCCCGCTCTGCACGAAATTTTGGTGTTGCGCTGTACAACTCCTCGGCTGGGTTACTGGGTGCCAACAAGCTGTCATACAGCAGAGATGTGTGTCACTTCGACCCACAGGACATGAGCCAAAAGCTGTGGCTCGTGCATGGCCACCAGGTGTTGGTAGATGGGCTCTTCAGCACCGATCCGCATCCAGGGAACATTTTGGTGGGTCCTGGTGGTGGAGTGGGCCTTATTGACTTCGGCCAGGTCTGTGAGTTGAAACTTCAAGCTCGGGTTCGTTTCGGGCGCCTTCTGCTGGCTCTTGCAAAAGGCTGCGATACGGCTATTGCCACTTCTTATCGTGAGCTGGGAATGCGAACACAGAGAGAGAAGGAGGGAAAGGCGATTAACGAGGAACTCCTAGCCCTCAATGCACGCATCAGATTTGGTCATGCCTCGGTGCTAAGCCGCGCGACCCACGAGCGTTACCGCGGCCTTTGTGCAGACGATTCCGTGTTCTGCAGTGAGTCTGATGACAGCCTTGGCAGAATCGAACGATTGATCGCAATTCTTCGTGGAACAAGCTTTCTGCTTGGCATTCCAACAGCACATGGGCCCACAACACTTTGGGTGGACATGGCCACGGAACTGGTCGAGGGTTCGCAAACATGTGCTCCCGACTCGCAGAGAGATGATGCTGGGCTCGTCCAGGACAGCTTGGTAAGTTGGGTTTACTTTCACAGCGTGAAGCATCCAAATGCATCCAAGTAATAGCAAGCTGATGATTTCGCATGAGGATATCGAGAGATGTGCTGGCCGAGATGATGTGGTTGCTTGCCAGCAGAGCATGGTACAATCAGCCTGCCCTGTAATGGACGGCAGGAAGACAAGCGAGTTGGAACCAAGGTGTGAAGTAAGGTGGCCAGTTGTCGAGATGCAGCATGGGTGCGACCGTGCGCACTCCTTGAAGTACAGGCAGGAGTCCTGATGACCAAATTCCGGTTAGTCAGTGCAGTGCTGTGAAAGCGTGACAGCTGCCTCAGGAGCCGTTTCTCTCTGCTTCTCGGATGCCACTCCGCGAGAGCAGTGAGGCAGTCTGCTAGTGTTGCTTGCACGAGCGCTTCTAGAGTCTAGAGCAGGCTTGCATTCCGCGTCATGATGACATCTTTGGAAGTCAACACAGACTGGCAAGCCTGTTGATACAGAGTCCTGTCGAAATCGGCGGAACAGTCCGAGTAGGCTAATTTTCAATCTGGCCTGAGGCCAAGCTGCACCAACGAACCGTGACAGTGTAGCTGTGGTAAGTCATGCCTTGGAATTGATGATGTTGATCTTCACACTTCCGGACTGCTGTCACTGTTCCGGGATCGAGCTTTGGCTGCAAAGTCTCGCCTGGCAGCTTTTGAAAACGCCAGGCAGGACAGGCCCAGTTGGATAGACCCGAACTGACATGCTGGTGCAATGCGTGCAAAGAAGCAATTTCTTGCTGCCACGCCAGCGGTTGATGGGCTGCAGCCACGCTGCAAGACTGAACTCAGGCCTGAGGTAGAAGAAGCAGGCTCTGGCAAGGCC